AGCATGCCTAACTTTACCGAATTTTAATGAAAATAAACTGTATTTGCATAGTTCGTCACTACTTCTCAGTTCCCTATTTATTTCTGTTACTTACTGAGTTGGTGTACTCACGTTACTCCCTGCGCTTCGTGTGCAGATCCAGGAGTAGTTGATCGTGGCGGTTGTTGATAGTCTTCGCAACAGTTTGGAGATAGCGAGGTAGCTGCCCGGCGTTCGCAACCTTGCTTTTCTTTTTCCCTATCTTTCATGAGTTGTATTTTGGATTCCATACTATGTTAGATCTTGCTATTGTCGGACCAATTCTATTAGATGCTCATGACTTAGTGACACCCCGATGTTTGGGGCTTTCGTTCAGCCTTTTTATATTGAGTTCAACTCTTGTTTTTTTTTTTTATGAGAAATCTTGTTATAAAAAGGCTTTTTAGCATATCTTTGAATGAGTTATTGAAGTATTGTGAGAGTTGGTTGGCCTAGTATCATCGATAGGCGCCATCACGACAGGTTTGAATTTAGGGTCGTGAAATATTGTAAAATATTATTACTTTGATATAACTCTATATATTTTATTGATTTATATCTTTAATATGTATGTTGACTTTATGTTATATTTTAATTAAATAAAATAAAAAAATAATAAAAGTCTCTTACAACAAATATTTGAATTTTTTAAAAATAATAATTATAAAACTTTGGTACTACGCTTTTGAGTAATTTGACACTCAAAAGCACTTTCTAGAAAGATTTGTCAAACACAATTTGTTTACCAAATGTTACAAAAATTACTTCTCAAATGATTTGACCAAACACAAACTGTTTTTCCTTTTCTTTTCAAAAATACTTTTTTTTTAAAAAAAAGCACATATAAGAAAAAATACTTTTCATATAAGCAGTTTTTGACATATTGGCCAAACTGGCTCTAAATTTGATTGAGTCAAGCTATATGTTCAATGAATATACGCCTATGGTGCATGAAAATCTGAAATCTCATACTCCTGTCTAATCGTCACTTAGGATGCCCTTTGAATAGTAACTAGAATAATCGTGGACTTCTCTAATTCAATTAACTAGAATAAAGGAGGGAAGATGATTAATTTCCGGTGACAAGATCGATAACATCGAGGTTGGCACGACATCATAAATCTTAGGCACCATCGTTTGAAATGTCCATATTAATTATAGCAACCATAGTACGAAATAGTCATACAATCCCAATTTAAAAATATGGTGGCAGAAAAAAAGAAGTGTCATCGAGTACTGGGAGACCACCATTACAGAATCTAATCTGAAAAAAATACAACCCCATTACAGCTAAAGTTCTGTTCCACCTTACAGGTGCCTCACTTATTTTTAAATTACTAACAGAAATAAAGTTGGAGAATCCTTCTTCCTTATTCCTATTACAATATTACCATTTCACATTCCTAAATGTATTATTGAACTTCTGAATATCCTATTGACAAATTTATTTGTTTGCTCTCTTTTATAAGCAAGACTTACCACCAGATATGGAGGAGCTCCGCCCGAGTTTCCGGTGCTCCGGCGACCGAAGACTAGAGATCGTAAGCGGAAAAGGGTTCAGCAGCAACCAGGTAAGCATTACTAATATGAACCATAATTTCAAGAACCTTATAGTTGAACTATTAAGTTTAACTTTTAGATTCGCCTATGCAGGGAAGTCGGGCTCGCTCACCGGATCTGCCCGTAGTAACGAGCAAGGGGACATGGCCGAGTCAGGTGGCAACAGCAACTTCATCGTCAGCTAAGCCATGGGGATTCAATGATCCAGAGATGAAGAGACGAAAGAGAATAGCAAAGTACAAAGTGTATACTATTGAAGGAAAGTTCAAAACTTCCATTAGAAATGGACTGAGGTGGTTCAAGAATAAATGCTCTGAAATCATCCATGGCTATTAATTAGCTATTGTTACTGTTAAAGGTGCTTTTCTTTTTAGTCTCTTCTTTCTCAATGTGATCTGTTGTGAGTTCTCAAGTTATAAGAAATTACAAAGAAAGGTGGGAAACATAGAGGTCTAATCAATTTCATAGTACTTATAATTAGAATGTTTTGCTTCATTTTTCAAAATGAAATTCTAATATTTATTTTTCTGACCTTTCATGCCTTTTTTGCATATCAAACCCATGGAATTCAAATTGCCAATGAATTAACATTGCTCTGGTGCAAAAGCATAGATGCCTAATCAAGAAATTATGTGTTCAACTCTGTCAAAACTTGAAATTGATTTATCCTTATTCCAGATATGGGTAACTTTAATAGGTTAACTTCATTATTTGATTCGTAAATACAGTGACTTTGTAAATCTTTCGAATAGTTACTTTCTCAATTTTTCACAACAAAACAAAACAAAAAAAAAAAATGGATGGACATTTGCCATTAATCTCAGTGGTCTTTGGCTCTTTTTTTCGCAAACAGACCGAATTGAAGATAAGACACCCAACTTTGGGCTAAATTGCTGTATATTTGCAATATGTGTCTCATTTGATCTGAACCTGGCAATGAATATGATTTTGATTCGCCACCTTTTTCTTAGTGTTTTGTTGGGAATTCAAGTTGACCAAACTGGCCATGGATTGGGTGGATCAAAGGCAACTCTGATTTTAGTATTCAATTCGTTTGCCAGGTTAAAAGCGAAGCAGAAGAAGTTGCATTACCTACACTTTTCTTACATCTAAGTAATGACTAATGACAGTATTAATTTATAATGCTACTTCCTCATGAAAAGTCAAACAGATGTGGACATTATAATTGGACATATGTTTGTTAATCAATCAACATAATATGACTCGTGAGTAGGGGTGGCAAACGGGCGGGGCGGGTCGGATATGAGCGGGTCAAACGGATAATTTCAAAAATAAATTATTCGACCCGACCGTTATTTGAGACGGATAAAAAATGGGTTTATCCATGGCTTCTTAAATATGATCACTTACGAGAGAATTCCTTGTCTTCCAAACTTGAGGAACTCTAATTTAAGACTTTACAAATGTAAAAGTTAAATACATTAGTTATCAATTGGTTAACCGCTTTCTAAGTGGATAATAAGGTTCTTTATCCATATTCGACCAGTTTTTAAATGGTTCATTATCCAACCTATTTTTTGATGGATAATATGAGTGGATAACTGTTTTCTTTTAACCATTTTACCAATTCTACCAAAGGTAACTTATTTTTCTTAAATGACCCGCAAATTAAGGTCCAGTTTGGAATATCTAAGTAATGACTAATGACATTTGACTCAAATTGCATGATACGTTGAGGTCCAGTTTGGAACCTAAATTTCCTAAAGCAAGAATTGCTTTTGTGCCTGGAAATATGAGAAAATTTATATGAAGGAAAAGAAATGGAGAAAGCTGGTAGGAAAATGTGATAAAACTGTGAGGCACATTTGGAATAAATTTACCTCCAAATACTAATTGTTAGGTGTTGTTTGGTTTCCTATCTCATGAAGGAAAGGACAACATATTTATCATAATAGGGTTTTTCTTTTCCTAGATGGAAAATATAAGTCTTCTATATTTGGCTAGTCCTTTTTCTTGTAGGAAAATGTTTAAACTTCTATAAATTCAGGATTCTTCCTTCCCATTCAGTAGCATCCACAATGTAGCCATAGGGGGCTTGAGAGTCTTGTTTAGGGGGAGAACTTTATGGGACAAGTGTTAGTTGTCACTAGTGTTTGCCTCTTCGTGAGGTTGTTCTCTCGATATTTTGTACTCTCTTTTTATTATAGTGGATTGCTCATCTCCGCCGTGGACGTAGGTTAGTTGACCGAACCACGTTAAATGTTTGTGTCTCTTTTGGTAGATTTCTCTTTTGTTGTCTGATTTATCGTCGTTGAAGGTTTGCTTTACTAGCTTCCGCATGACACCTGACTTTTTTCGATCCTAACAAGTGATATCAGAGCGAGGTTCAAGACAGGTTCATCTTGGCGGGTTCAGCTCTAGTCGCAACATATTTGACGATAATCGTGATTTTTGTCTGAGAAATTTGGCCGATGTGCTACGCCTGTTGAGACAAATTTTGTTGTGGAGATTTGGAGATGCGACCTTTTGAAGGCTATGTCAAAAAGGTGAATCAAGTTTATTTTGTCAGAAAAGTTAGGCCAAGGGGGAGAATTGTTAGGTGTTGTCTTGATTTTCTTACCATATTTGGTTTTCTTATCTCATGAAGGAAAGGACAATATATTTACCATAATAGGGTTTTTCTTTTCCTAGATGGAAAATATAAGTCTTCCATATTTGGCTAGTGCTTTTTCTTGTAGGAGAAGGTTTGCACTTCTATAAATTCAGGATCCTTCCTTCACATTCAGTAGCATCCACAATTTAGCCATAGGGGGCTTGAGAGTCTTGTTTAGGGGGAGAACTTTACAGGACAAGTGTTAGTGTGTCACTTGTGTTTGCCTCTTCGTGAGGTTGTTCTCTCGATATTTTGTACTCTCTTTTTATTATAGTGGATTGCTTATCTCGGCCATGGACGTAGGTCAGTTGACCGAACCACGTTAAATGTTTGTGTCTCTTTTGGTAGATTTCTCTTTTATTGTCTGATTTATCGTCGTTGAAGATTTGCTTTACTAGCTTTCGCATGACACCTGACTTTTTTCGGTCCTAACATTAATTCACTCTCTTCTACTCCTTTCTTTAGTTAACCTATTCGGACTCAAAGTTTAGAAATACATTTATTTTCGTTCTAAACACTTCTTAATTTTCGTTTCGTTCTATTTACCCATTTGGTACTTAGGATTGGATAATTATATATAGAGTTGAACATTTACTATTCATTACCCAATGGTATCCAATGAATAGAAAGACGTTAGCCTTTTTAACTTTCTATTTCATATTACGGACTTAACAGATCATAAAATAGGTCTTGGACATTTATATCAACTTATCTCTAGTTTATCTTTATTTGGTTTGGTTGCTATATAGGAGTTGTTTAAAAGGAAAAAACCTCGTAAAAGCGAGAGAAAATGATGACGAGATACGTATGTAATAAAATAGGAGTACAACTTTTATATCTTAACAAAAATAATCTCTTAGATTCAGATACATATTCCTTCATTACAATGTAATCCATTGTACCTACTTAACAAAGGTAGAAAAAAACCTGCTCCATTTGGAACTAATCAGTAAAGATCTAAGAGACATCAGAGCAAAAGGCAGAGACATCTCTACACTAGTTCTGAGATGTAATGCCTTTGCAAAAATTAATTAATTAATTAATTAATACTACAAAATGAATGAAATGAAATTAGACGCTTACGTGCATGCCTTTTATGTGTTTGATGAATTGCTATCACTGTTGACGCCTCATTTGTTCGTAAAATTGAGCTATGAAATTCTCTGCTTTTGCATCAATCATCTCGTCTGCTCCAATTGCATCAAATACCTGGTCAGGATCTTCCTCTTCATCGTCGCTGCTCTCACCGTAGAGTTCTTGGAGATTATTTGCTGAAGCATACTGACTCATGGTTCCTGCAGAGGAAGTGGAGGGTGATGGAGAGGACACATTTTCACAGCATTCTACCATCGGCGATGGAGATTTCACCGGCGGCGGCTGGTGGGGAGTTGGTGGTGATTCATTGTCTTGGAGATGTAAAGGCCTCATTGAACCCACCAGCTTCTTCCAATTATCTCCTTTTGAATCCGCATTAGGCACCGGTTCCTTTAGTATTCAGAATTTAAAATCAATGTATGTTAGAATATGATACGTAAAATATGTGTTGTGGTGACAAAACTAGAATAACATATAGAGGCGGAGCAAGAATTTGTCGCGGAACCCATGGCTCGTCTTAGTAATTGGGTTTGCAACTAGTTCCGCTCTGTGACATATATACCTATTTTCGGCCGATTTTTATGTAAAAGCTAAGAATTAGTTCATCTTCCTCCTATAAAGAAAGTGATTTATCGACCAATCCAGAATGAATTATTGGCGTTAAAAAGGTATACAGTAAGAAAAGAGTTTGCAATGTCGATAACTAAAGTTATGTTATCAGAATATGATACATAAAATGTAAGTGCACTTAATGTTGGATCTCTGTAGGCGTACCTGAGAAATTTTCTGATGCTTTAGATCAATAGATCGACGGCGCAGCTTGAGCGATGCAGCTCTGAGGAAGCTGAAAGCACCTTGCTTTTTCTTCTCCTTGGTATTGATTGTTTTCTCTCCATTATTACCATTGACACTTAATTTTGGTTCTTTGACAATGTTGTTGGTGTCAATGTTATCATTAAGTGGAGATTTATTGTTGTTGGTGGTGGTGATTGTGGAGTTGATTACCTCTTCCGTCATTCTTTTGAGGAGATGTTCCACGAAAAAAATTGGCTACGCTCTGTCCAACGACGTTAATGAGATTTAGTTTGCCCTCCCTGCAATGCAGGGCGAGTTGTTAAGAGAGACGTTGCGAACAAATGAGGCTTCTTTTGCTGTATATATATATACAAGAGAAGCGACAAAAAAGGGAACCTAGAATTTCTGTGTTTGGTGTTGATTCTTTGTTGGTCAGTTACGGTTTAACTATGTAAGCACCTCAGGAAATTTGTGCGGTTCACAACGTAGTTTGGAATTGAAGTTGAAACATATATAGAAGTACGAGAATGCCCATTCTCATGCACATTTGTTATGATTATTTGACCAAAAAGTGTTGAGCTTTTTGCAAAACTAATCAATAAGGAAATAGAGGGTGAATCCTAGTTAAATATAATAAATTCTAGATCCAAAATTGGAAAATATCAGTGGGATGAGATCGCGTTCAAGAATAATAAATATCAAGTATATGACCAATGATTACCAACGAATGTAGTACTAGAAGCATGCAATAAATATAGATAATGGCAATAAACGTAATAAGAAGGAATTTAGCACCCAAATGTTAGGTGAATTGGATGATTTTCCTCCCTGACAACAACGTGAGGTGATAGGAAATGAAGATGGATAAGGAATCTTTGGATCTTGTGAATGAACAACGTAAATTGCACAATATAATCAGTGAACAAGCTTTTGTATATTCTCCTCAGTCAACCCTTTACAATGTGCTCTTATCAAAAGGTGAAGATTCCTTTTTTGTTCTTTATCTCTTCCTATTTATAGGGGATATTCCTGAGAAACCCTAAAAAAGTACAATAGAAAGAATATTCAATGGAATATTCCTTCTTTCTATTCTAACTTATCCTACCGTTATTTTCATACTCTCTTTGCTCGACCTCGACACTAATCTTTCTTAAGACGACTCTTCGCCCTCATGCCGTGGTCGGCTTAGTCCTCGACCACGTTCGTTTGCAGCTATTAAGTCCAATCCAAATTTTGACCAACATAGTTAGTCCCTCCGCTTGTTGAGGTCGTACTCTTGGACGTCCTTGAAGAGATCCTGTCTGCTGCCGTTCAGAGGAAATTGGGCCGTGATGATTGAATCGAATCGGTCGAGGTCGAACTGACGGCAGAGCTGCGGTTGGCTTGGCTATCGTAGGATGACATCATGCCACACGCGTCATCATTACGCGTCTTCCCAATGCAATGTCTGTGATTATGTCGCTTCGGTTTTGGTGCTGTTGATGGCTCTTTGCCTCGATTCCGGTGTTACCCAACCCTATAAGTAGAGGAGGGAGGTTTCATTTTCGAAACTTTCAGCATTCCTCTTATTTTATGCATATCGTTTCTCTTTGATTTTCTTCTTGGATCTCCATTTCCGATTTCTTGCAATTTCTTCAGTTTCAGTCACTAATTTCTTTCCCGGCCAATATTTTTTCTCCGACTTTGTTGTACACACTTTACTACGGATATATGTCAACTTCTCCTCATATTCACGACGGGGTCACCGATGCCACTCCTTTATCGGTGGACATTCCTTCTGGCGGTGAGGAATCCATGGTTGAGGAGGAAGAAAGTTTCCCTACTGTGGAGGAGGTGGTTCCCAAAAATCCTTTGGTTAGACACGATTTCCCAAAAGAACCTGCTCTTGCTCCTGCTCAAGAGCTTTCTGTGATGGGGCTATGTCAAATAGCCGACCTCCGGTCCAAGTACCGTATTCCCTCTCACATCGAGATTATTTCGGCGGGAGATGACATAGTACAGGTTCACCGACCTAGATATTGTGCTTTCTATGTTTACCCGTTCTTAGTCGGTTATTCTCTTCCTCTCCCCCCATTAGTGGAGGAGTTTTGCCGCTTTTACAATGTTTGCCCGGCGTAGCTCTCCCCTTATTTATACAAAGTTTTCCTAGTGCTGGCGAAGTATGCAGAGTTGGCCAGGTGTGAGGTCAATATTTGCCATCTGTTGCATCTATTCTCGCCTAGCTTTTATAGAGGAACGTTGATACATCTGTGGCATTGTGGGATCAGAGGGTTGGTGGCTGGGATAGATGATAAGACGAACTGTCGATTCTGGCATAAATACTTCTTCATCAAGATCGAGCACCTGGTAGCGAATCCGACCGGGTTTCCCGAGCAATGGAATTATAATCGTAAGTGTCTTTGTTGGATGTTCGTTAGTTTCTTTCTTCCTCTTCTGTTTTCGAATCTCATGGCTTCCTTGTTTTCAGCTGAGAGACGTGCACCTTCTCCCGTCTTCAATATTGAGTATTGGGTGGCTCGCGTGTTACCCCACATCGTGGGAATTCGTGACTGGGCGTCCACTCACAAGCGCTTTGGACCCAAGACTCCGTCCAGTAATTGTTATTTCTACCTTAACTTATTGCCGTTCGCTATTGCCTTTTGACGCGACCTTCTTTTGGTGCTAGGTCGGCGAGTTTCCAAAAAGGCGAAGGCTCCAGTACCTGCGTTTTGCCAGGCCATTGCGTCGGCTGGAATGCTGTTTTCTTTAGCTGAGTCTACTCGAGGAGGCCGGCCTCAAGTTACGCCAATGAGGGACTCCACTCCTCAAATTGTTGCTATGTCGGATGAGATCTCTTCTCAGCCTATCTTCCACCTTATGGACGAGCCATCTTGCAGCAAGGAGGCATCGCCGAGGAAAAGGCAAAGGGTGGAGATCGGAAAAGCCATTATCGCCGATGTTGGGCCAGTAAGATCCGTTGCTTTGGAAGCGGGAACAGTGCTTACACCAAGCGTCGAGGCGGTTTCTGCGGCGGGTGCCGCCATGGATAAGAACCCCTATGAGGTTGAGGGGGTTCATGGTGGCAGAGATCTCACGTGAGCTGCTGAGGGTGGCTCATCGTCGGCAGCTGGGGGAGATAGTGATGTCCTTGCGAAGGACGACGACTCCGGCTCAGACATCAACCCTGAGGAGATACGGACCTTCGTGGAGAGGGCTACTCGTGTGGAGATAAGGACAGAGGGTCCTAATCGGCATATAGTCATTCCCGTGGACTACGACCTTTTGGCCAACTCAGAACGGGCGGTGCCGGCCTTTTCTCCCTTGTGTGCGGCTTCCGAGAATACAACGCTATAGACGATGAAAGAGGCAGATCTGTCGTTGGGTATATCTGGCATGGCCCTGCGAGTGAGTGCTTTTCCATGTTAGGTTAAGTTTGTTTCGTATGTGTAATATGCTTACACTGACCTCTTCTCTCTTTTTTTTGCATGTCACACTCTTATTATGGGGATTGAGCGCGACCGGCGGGAGGAGCGGAGGACGACTAAGAAGATGACCTCCAAGTATAAGGAGTACCGTACCAAGCACTGAACGATGGTCGATTTTCTCAGCCAGGACGGTGAGTTTCAGTCGCTTCGTGATGGGCTCAAACAGAAGGACGATGAGCTAATGAAGAGCTGAGGGAGAGGGACGATGAGCTTATGAGGTCCATCAGTAAGTGCAGCGAGCTTGAGGCATCAATAAAAGCCAATGAGGGCGAGCTCGAGGTGAGTAAGGGGGTGACGGCTGAGAACACTGACCTTTAGGCGCAGGTGGCATCTTTAACGGTTGAACTCGGGAAGAGGGAGGCAAGGGCTGTCGATCTGAGGGATGAGCTGAGTTCCAAGATCAAAGAATTGGGTCGGGCTGAGAAAGGCAGAATGGCCGTTGTGGCTGAAGCGGCAGCCTTAGATGACGCTCTCCGTTGTTTGCAGGTCCAAGCGGACAAATGAGGCGGAGACGTCGGCGCTCAAGGTAGTGAGGTTGGAGGAGCGGATCATGCATTTAGAGGCGGAGCTGTCTGAATTAAATGAGCAAGTCGTTGCTCTGAGGACCGAGAAGATACAACAGCAGGCACAGCCGTCTACATCTCGTACTTCTACCAATCCCGGTGTGTCGCAGGAGTTGTATTAAATGTGGGTCCATGCCGAGGCTCAACTTGACGTGTACAAATCTTTGCAGGTTGCCGGGAAGGTCTCCGAGGCGGAGCTTGAGGGCGTCCATGTCAAGGCACGTGCCGCTCGTGAAGCTTGTGGTTACGACCCTAGTACACCCGGTGGGGATGATGATGACGATGCCACGGATGGGCTTGCCTCTGATCCTTGGTATGATGACGAGTATGTTGGTGGGGACGATGTGGCATAAAGCTTTTGTGCTTAGTTTTTTTTTTGGCTTTGCTATTTTTGTGAGGGCGTTCTCGAGCCCTTTGTAAAAAGTTGTAATTCGACAATTGAAATGGAACGATTGCCTTTTTGCTATGTATTTTCGGATTCCCGTTCTCTTTTTTCTTTTTTCTTGGTCTGCTATGCGGGGAAGTCCCTGACTTTTTCGGCCGTTTGCACGTAGTGTCTTGGTGTAGTCGAAGGTAAAGTAATTCGAGCGAGGTCAATGTAAAGTAATTCGAGCGAGGTCGAATGTAGAATAATTCGAGCGAGGTCGAATGTAGAATAATTCGAGTGAGGTCAAATGTAGAATAATTCGAGCGAGGTCAAATGTAAAATAATATGAGCAAGGTCGAATGTAGAATAATTCGAGTGAGGTCGAATGTAAAGTAATTCGAGCGAGGTCGAATGTAAAGTAATTCGAGCGAAATTAAAGTAATTCGAGCGAAATTAAAGTAATTTGAGCGAGGTCGAATGTAAAATAATTCGAGCGATGTAAAATAATTCGAGTGAGGTCAAATGTAAAATAATTCGAGTGAGGTCGAATGTAAAGTAATTCGAGCGAGGCCGAATGTAGAATAATTCGAGCGAGGTCGAATGTGAAGTATAAAATGAGATAGAGTTGTGCAAAGATGTTGCATGTTGCTTTGTTTATTTCATTCATTAAAGAATATTACATGTTTCTGTTTGTGTACATACATTTGAGAAGTTCCAGTCTGCCTAGTCCCTTTATCGCTCGGCCTGGAGAAGTAGTCGATAGGCAGGGCAATGAAATACACTTGAACTTCGAGACGTCCTCTTCGTTGCCTCATTAAAAACCTCCTCGATAAAACCCAATTGGGATAAAACCCGGTTGAGGGAAAAAGACTGCGACTTGGAGGGCGTCCGCTATCAGAAGTTGAAGTATTTGAGGTGGGCTACGTTCCAATTGTTTGG